TAACTGAGACGTTTTTGAAGCTGTTTAATAAACTCGTAGTTCGTGTTTTATCACATATAAAACACTCCGCTACGCGTCGTGTTTTATATGTGATAAAACACTCCTACTCGTTTATTAAACAGTACTTAATGTTTCAAAAATAGATGAAGTAGATTGTTAATATTAATGGAGCAGGTCTCACAATATCTCGGTTAAAATTATCATAGGCCCCACTCGGGCTGTTTATATGAGCTGTAGAGATCGTGCATGCATGTATATGTGAAAGAAGTTGATATTCAATTTACAATAAAACCAAATTGGGCTCACGTTTTTTCAAACGTATCCAGAATAGTGTTATAAAACTGAAAATGAATGTGAGTAGTGTCATAGCATATGCGTGTTCCTACACTGCAGAAACTCCGCGCACATGCAGGATAGCTCCTGCTGTGACATGCATATGTGATCATGCTGGCTTCATAAGATAAAAGCAATAAAATGTATCTCACTGAATGAACCATTTTCTTCATAATATGCATGAAAATAATCTGCATGCGCCTGTTGAATTACAAGAATTTTTTAACAACCTTCTGTTGCATAATATATATATTCTTTTATATGAGATCAAATATTTCCGGACATGCGTTTAGTTTTTGTATAAGAGCTTCATGATTGCGAACAGCCTGAGTTACTGGTGTTACAATAGATACCATGCTGGCTTCAAAAATTAATAGCATAAAAATGCGTCTAATGCACTATTTTATGAGTATTGTGACGTTCAAACAGGTGCTGGGACTGATATATAGATATAAAGGTATCGAATTAAATGACAAGTCGCAAGACGGTGATGAATGCATTTTATTTCTGATACATAAATAAGCAAATAATTTGCTGTCAGGTAAGTTTTCTAGATTTGTTCGAGATTACTCCCTTTCTCTAATTAAACTGAAAAAATTACAGATAGCACATGCAATGTACAGAAATAATAAAACAACATTATATAATGTACAATAATATATAATGTTATTGTATGAAAACATTATTTAATTATATACAGTAAAAATTGTACTGATGCTACTATATATATATATATATATATATATATATATATATATATATATATATATATATATATATATATATATATATATATATATATATATATATATTTAATTATTTAAATAAAGTACAAAACAAACGTTGTTACTCAGAGTTTCATGCCTGAGTTTACAGACAATCTTCGGACAACTCGAAGTTGTCCGAAGATTGTCTGTAAACTCAGGCATGAAACTCTGAGTAACAACGTTTGTTTTGTACTTTATTTAAATAATTAAATATATTTAGCTCTACAATAAAGTATTGAGCACTCTATATTATATCAAGAAGACTTGATATATATATATATATATATATATATATATATATATATATATATATATATATATATATATATATATATATATATATATATATATATATATATATATATATATATATATATATATATATATATATAGTTTTTCGTTTTACCTCAAAAAACCACAACAGTCTGTTTCATCCGTATAGGAATCATATACGGATGAAACAGACTGTTGTGGTTTTTTGAGGAAACACGAAAAACTATATTACGCTCTATCTATATGGTATTGAGCACTGTTTGTGTTTCGTAAACCAAAATCTTAAGCTATATATATATATATATATATATATATATATATATATATATATATATATATATATATATATATATATATATATATATATACATACATACATACATACAAAGATAAGAAAAAATTAAAACAAACTCAAAAACAATTTTAAAATAACGGTTTATAACTGGCTGGGGCGTGTATATGTATTCTTAATTGTCGTATTATATAATTAAATTGTTTCGCTTTTCACTTATCTCGCAAAACATTAATTAAACATGCCCGTGCATACAGCTTCACATGCATGAAAAAATGACAACATAAAAATCACAATTTTAAATTTCTTATCATGCACGTACTTTCATTATTGACGTTCGCTTTATAAATATTATAATTAAAGAATACCCTTATTTATCTATGTTTATGGCAAACTATATGTTCAGCGACAGCGGGACTAGCCGAAAATGGAAAAATTGTATCTATCTTCATTCATTATTCTCATGATAACGAGATGGTTAAAAGCAGATTTATGCGGTAATCCGAAACGATTCGAGAAAATTGAAAACGGTATTTTCCTAATATGTTTATTAACCATATTATACAGGGTGTATAAAAAAAGGGACCTTTTAAAAAAATCAAGCTTTTGTTGTTAAACACAGGATTTTATACTGCTGGGGAGCTAAAATTCATATGTTGGACGAAACCAAATTAGTTTTAAATATTAACTTCGTCATGTATAAAATTCACTTCTATTCTGTTTTATATACGTACCCGTGCATGGTTCAGTACAGGCCAGCATAGTGCTATGCATTCAAATTCCAACAATAGTATGATCTCTAAAGGTCTCGATTTTGTTATACATCCTGCATCTATACAAATATCCCAAGCAACATTTTACTGAAAATATATACAGTACTTTATCTAATTTAGTAAAACATATATTCCCACGTGCACGTATTTGTGCATGAGAAATCCGTTAAGCCGTATAAGCTGCTCGTTAGTCGATAAAGACCATTTATACTCATTTCTCAGATGTTCTCACAGCTCAGATGTTGAATGCATCCATTCACGAGGAATGGAAATAAGAACAGAAATTTAAAAATAAATAAATTGATCAAAGAGTGCTAAGGATTGGTGAGATTAAATTATGTTACCTGACGTTTCAAAACATCAACTAAATCTTTTAAATTACTCTTCTTCTCTTTGCCATACTTCAGCAGACTCTTGCACAAATTCCCCTGTTTATCATATTCATTTTGATATCATGCGCGATTGCCTAAAAATAGTGCGATTACAGCCCTAATCATATAGAGGGAAAAATTACTCGAATATGATTGGCTAATCATGAGGACATTTTTTCTTAATTCAGCGCAAAATTACTTGTACTTGATTGGCTGAGACGCAAGCGCGGGAAGTTTCTGTTTCTTGTTTTAAATAGTAATACAAACAATGGCTTCTCACTTTCTCGTTGCGGATAATGATGTTATTGAAGAATTAAAAACTTCTAGTGAAAACTCGAACACTAGAAAATTGGATTGGAGTTATTAAGAAATGGGCAGCATTAAGGAACATCGGCGAAGACATGGAGACATACGAGGTTCAAGAACTTGAAAGTTCACAATTTACTTACGAATAAATTTTGCCCTCTGTGATTAACAAGTAATCGCATAGGTCCAAATAAAATTAAGGTTTAAGTGTTTTGAAAGTTTCACAAATTTCCCTCGTCGCTTGGCGACTTTGAATATACGCGTGAAATTAAACCTTAATTTTACTCGGCCCCATGCGATTACCTATACAAATCGCACTATTTTAGAGCTGTATATAATCGCAGTATTTTGAGCTTTGCTCGCGTCAGCATGAGTTGTAATCGCATCATTTTTAAACCAATCGTGTTGAAGTGGTGACCTTAGCTAGCCAATGAAAGGAAAGTGTGGAAATCACTTAGCCAGTCAATTTTAAGAAAAAATTTATCTGGCAAATTGAGCAAAATAAACAAATCAGAGTATTACTATATCGTGGCTAATTGTTTTGCATATAAAAACAAAATAAAGTATAGCTTAAACTGTTAAACAATTCACAAATAAGTATGAGCATATTAGGAACAAAATCTTTGTGAAACATGGCGAAAATATACCAACAAAAAGCAACATAATAACGCGACAGGCAAAACAACTAAACAAGCTAGGTATAATTTGTACATCGTATAATTTGTTGATGTTTGAATGAACAAAACCGCACCAAAAGGCAAAACCCTATCAAATTGCTAATAAAACCTATCGGTATGTTTAAACTTACATTGGTTGTCTTTTAGTCTTCACAGTATCCATAAATTTCTTCATTTTTTTGGTATAACTTTTCGAGATATAAAAAAGTTTCTTCCCTTGTTGCTACGCTACGGCACTAAAGCCGGTTCAGTCCACTTGCGAATTTTTTCGCGCGAAGCGAATTTTTCTTTTGTCTTTATCCAATTAGTTCCAGATGGTTCCAGTTGAGAGACCAAAGACAAATAAAAAATTCGCTTCGCGCGAAAAAATTCGCAAGTGGAAACCGGCTTTAGGGGAATATCGGGTGGTGTCTTTCGTAAACAAAGAGCTCATGTTTCCGTTCTACAAAATTGTTTAAAATTAAGACTTCAAAATGAATATAATAAAGTGGCAATTGCATTTCGTGTCGTGAAATTTTGGTCTGAAATCTAACTTGTGATTATAAATCGCACTCCTCGGTCGTGCGATTTTGTAATCACGCGTTTGATTTCAGACCAAATTGCACTCCACTCAGTGCAATTACCATTATTGATTATAAGTTGAAATAAGGCTACGAGTCCCCTGTTAATTATGAATTAACTAAGTTTTTCCACACCAATATCCGTTTCTTTATTATTAATATTTTTTCTTACTCAAGGGAGCTTTGCTTTGTCAAACGCCAGTGGGTTATCTAGTCATCGCGTTGCCCGTGAAGGACAATGTTTCCTCTACTGTGTGAAAAAGCCGTCATGTACGGCATTTAAATTTAGACCGAACAGCATAGAAGAGGTGAATTGCATACTCAGCAACCTAACTAAAAATGTAGGCAAGGGTGGGGAAAAAGGATGGATATATTATCAAGATACTCGGGTAAGACGTTGTATAAGAATTTGTAAATTTTAATTTAAAGCAAGAAATACGCGAGCTAGTATCAAGAGCTTATGCAACAAGAGCTTAGGCAACAACTAAAAATCCTTTCCATACTTGTGTAGATAGAAACTTCGAACTTCTGCTTAGATTTTTTCAGCTAATCCTTTACCAGGTGATCTCGTGTTCGTATTTTAGCCAATCAGCGATCCGAAAGGGTTGTCCGAATAGAAATCCATTTTGATGTATTCAGTCAATTATATCTTTCGTTATTCTTTATGAAAGCAGTTGAAATTTTGTAATTATGTTTGCTTATGAGAACTATAGCTCTGACAAAAATATGGAATCGAAATAAAGTATATTACGGGAGATACTCAGTTGTTTTAATCATAAAATGGATTTCTATTTGACAACTAGTGCCAGTACTTTTCCGCGTATCAAGATCATCTGGTATACAGGGTCAGAAAAGAGTAGATAATTTTGAAACGGCTCTCAATTTCACAAATCCTTTGGTGTCATGAAATTTTTGACAAATATATATTGTCTAGTTGGGTATACTTATAATGTGGAACAAACAAAAAAATTTCGTAAAGATAAATTTTCCAGAGCAAGGGGGCTGTCTCTTTAAAATGTTAACACAGAGTTCATGGGCGAGAAATTTGTTATGTGTTTATTAATGGTTATTAAATATCAGAAAATTTGCTCAATTTTTAGTCCTTCAAGTAGCTGCTGAAACTTTCATTTTTTTGCACCAATACATTTACCTGATTTGCATATTGTTATTGTAAGTAAAATAACAATATGCAAGGCATGAAAGGCCAGCTCGATCTCTTCCGAAAATGAAAGGCCAGCTCGATCTCTTCCGAAAATTAAGGCTATATGACTTAATTGTATAAAGCGTTTCAAATTAAGACATTGCTTTAATTTTAAACATAACCCCCACCCCAATCCCTACCCTAACCTCTAACCCCTAACCCCTAACCCCCTAACCCCCTAACCCTAATCCTAATCTAATCTAATCTTAGCCTAACCCTAATCCAATCCAAATCTGACGGCCTTATTATTTTTTTTAAAAAAAAGTCCCACTTCTGCGCGACCATCTGCGCGACCAGCCTCCCTTAGTATGACCATTACTTTTATAGTAGGAAACCTTGCCTAATGATTGTGGTATTATTAAATTAAGGCTTACTAAGCCATATCCTTAATTTTCAAAAGTTTAACAATTAAGACATAGCCTTAATTTTGAGAAGTGATCATGTTGGAAAGGCATTGGTGCTGAAAAATGAAAGTTTCAGCAGCTGCTTGAAGGACTTAAAATTGATCAAATTTTCTGATATTTGGACCATTAATGAAACATATGCTGCTAAAAAAGACACACACACAGCCTGCTCTGGAAATTTATCTTTACGAAAATTTTTTGTATATTCTATATTATAAGTACACAAATAATGTATATTTATCAAAACTTTCATGACATGAACGAATTTGTGAAATTGAGAGCCGTTTCAAAATTGTCTACTTTTTTCTGATACACCATGTATATAAGATGCATATTTTTGTACTGAATTGAATAACTAACATAATTTTGCCAACTCATTAATACTTGACTGATAAAATTGCCAAATATTGCATTATAGAGTCACTTAATTAAAGAGGGAACTTGTCCAAATCATGGAAATCAGGTTTAACGCATGTATTTTCATACCTTCGCAGCGATTTTATAGGAAATGGCCACCTATCTACTCTTAATCTGGTGATCTGTGCATGTTCCCTGAATTTCCTATTATGGGACAAAAAGGTTGAAAATCAGCAAATTTAGGGGATTTCCCCCTCCCTTCCAGGGTTTTAGCCTTTATGTTTTTACCACTTTTTAAATCACATGAAAACTTGATGTAATGGATCGCATATCATGAGTTTTAGATAAGGTCAGTATCGGCATTTTCTTTAAAATGTCCTAAATGTTCTGAAATATTTTAATTAAATCTAATTTCCATAATCCGGTGCCTTAAGTGATGCTAATCAGTTTAGAAGGCAAACGTCTGGTATTTCGTTGAATTACGTATCAATTATGGATTATGCAGAATATGCTAGTTATTAAATTCAATGTAAAAATCTGGAACTTCTACATTAAAATTAATTACGTAACAAAGCTACAAAATATAGTGAATGGGGAGAATTTTTGGGACACCATGTATAACCGCGTCTCTTATTGTTCCTATATGTTACATATGTATAAAAGGGAGGAGATATTAAACATTTTGAAATATGCTATACTAACTTGATTGTGATAAAATGTGCCTCAAGCTCATTTAAATGAAAGTCAAAAATATTATTAATTAATTACATTTTATTTTTTTTTTTTTTTTTATTATGCAGTGCAAGAACCAAGCCAAGCACAAAGAGAATGAAATGTGCACCCATGATGCACTACAAGGTACTTCAAATATCTATACTCTACCCGGGTAATTCCAAACTACTGAATATATCAGAAAAATCACGAGTTAAATTTCAGTTAAGCGTTCGGCGAGCGGAATGAGGGTTCCAATTCCACATAACTTTCACATGTGAAATAATATGTGATATTTCCATAAGGACATGGTAGCCATTATACTACAAATATATGTCGTCTATACTATATCTTGGAGCTCACGAGAAAAAATAGCACACAGAAGTAAAAAAATGTGCATAGTGAACTCTCATGTACCAATACACCCCTCCGGAAAGTAGGTCACTTTGGCTTTAGTGCCTCATTTTAGTGCAGGTGACATTAGCTATAAATCCAAACGTTTCAACCATAAAAACGAGGCTCAATAGCCAAAAGTGACGTACTTTCTGGTAGAGTGTATAAGGAGACCGGATTTCTACAGTGTATTAAATTCTTGAGTGCATTAAATAAGGAAACCTGAATTCTACAGTGGTATAGTATTACCTCTCGAGTCATAAAGTGCCGCTAACCCTATAAGTAACTCATAGTAATATTTGGACTATTTGGAAAGAAATGTAATATATCTTGAGAGTTAATCTTGATCAACGTTTTCACTGAGCATGACAAAGATGCAGGATATGATGTCATTTGATGTCAAGGAATTAGTTTTCCTTGAGGGTTTTTCCAGTGTCAAAGTTGATGATTTTATAGTCCCCGAGTCAATGCACGGCTATTTACCCCCGGGGAAAGGAAAGCATTAGCGAAGTCTAAAGTTCATCAATAATCGTGGGCGCATGGCTACGGTTTACCGTGCGTGGGTGGTCATCTTCACTGATCTCAAAATATAGCAGACTGTCATGAACAGGGTACACTGAATGGTCAAATTTAAAATTTGCATTATAACGACTGCATGAGGACAACGAAATAACAAATATTTCCTTCAAATATTTTTCTCATTTTTGCAAGATTTTGTAAATTTCAAAACCTTTTTGAGAAAAAAAGCCGAAAAGCTTGCTAAAAGAAGCGAACAAAGCGGCCCACGTTAGTGAAGGTAAGTTTGTTTTAAATGTTTATGTATTGTTTGCTTTACAATTGCTTTAAAAACTAGTACTGATCGTTGCGTATAATGAAAAAAGACAACATATCATGTCAGTGTATACTTATTGACTTTATTGATTATCCTTTTTGGTTATTTTAATTTTTAAATAAAAGGAAAGCAAAGTTATTTGCATGCGAGAATTTGAAATCATATTATTTCAAACTCAAAGTTTATCGGTAAAAGGCAGTTTAGTTTTAAGAACATTTTAAAACGTTTGGGAAGCGTTTTTGGTTGAATTTTACATTAAATCGAAGCTTATATTAAGTATAATAACGTATAAGTGATATTTTTAGGGGACTTTTCAATTTTAAAAGTATTCTTAAGAAAATTATAGTGTTGCCATGACAACTACTTTAAATACTTCATGTTCGGAAATATACTGATTTTATCAGCAAGGCGAGGGTTTCTGCATGCATGTATTATCTAATATAAATATATACTACATTTTTTCTTTGAATGACCCAAATATCACCCATACAAAAAAACATCAGATCGTGTAATAAGCAGATAAGAGGAACAACTGAATCGAAAATTGATGTGTTGGATATCATCCTAAGGAGAAGATAATATGATTTGCCTCTGGGCAAAACATGACGTTATATTAATACTAACAACACATGCAAGCAAATCAGTAGTCTAAAAATTACTTGTACAGAAACAACAGATATATAATTAACATATAGGTCACAGGAAACGAAATGTAACCTGTGGTGTCTTGAAAGAAAAATACCCTGGTCTCAGAAATGGAGTTTTCAAAATAGTTCCCCAGGGTGTTGGCACGTTACCATTTTCAGTATACTGTAATATGACCTCAAAACATGAAGTTGGAGTGACTGTGATTGGACACAATAGCGAATCAAGGACCAAAGTGAATGGATATGAAGAAAATGGCTCATACCGAAAGGACATTATATATGATATCACAATGGAGCAGATTGGTGCAGTTATAAATCAGTCTCGTTACTGTGAACAGTTTATCAAATATGAATGTTACGGCAGTCGACTGTTATTACCGTCTATTGCTTGGTTGGTTTCTCGTCAAGGTAATTATGGTAACTAGGTTACACGTAATCGTCGTACATACGTGAACAGAAGGGTAATTTCGTACATAGGTAAACATAAGTGCGTAAACACCCAGGTAATTTCTGAACGACTTGCTTTTGTTCACATTTATAAGAACTCAAACCAATACGTTGCTTTTTTTTTGAGCTTTTATAAAAAAATTAAAAAGCATGTTAATTTGTTAAGATACTTTCAACTACATGAAAAGGAAAGTAATACATGTTTAAATTCATAAACAGTCAAAACAAACTTGCCATGTACTAAACCATTTCTTATCATTTCTTTAAAGGAAAATTAAAAAATCCTTCACAACTGTTGAGCGAAAAGATTTTGAAATTAAGGCTTCCTTACATGTGTTTTAAGATCCTTGCTTCTTCCACTCCTGGCAAACAGCCATATTTTTTAGATCAGTGAGAAGATCACCCATATACCTTCAAACACATGCAGCCATACGCCCATGATAATTGACGGATATTTCAATCATTTAGCTTATTTTTTCCTGGGCGCAAACGGCCAAGCCGGTTTGCCCTGCACTTGTGGAGGTTTTAGCTCCCTACACTCCCTCCCCGCTTCCGCCGCCAATGGTAACATTTAAGCCTTAAGCTAAAAATTGTCAGCCATTCACTCTACTGGTCATTAATTTCAAGGTAAACGGATGAATTACTGGGGTGGGGCAACAGTCGACAGTGGAAAGTGTGCATGTGGGATGAACAACAGCTGCGTTGGAGGTGAACGTTGCAACTGTGATTTCAACGACCAAAATCTTCGTGAAGACAGTGGGTTCCTGACGGACAAGAACACGTTGCCTGTACAGCAACTGAGATTTGGTGATACAGGAAGCTCAAATGAATATGGATTCCATACCCTTGGAAAATTACTGTGTTGGGGATAAATCTGATCATAAATTCAATAATATTGAATTTAGACAATATATCAATATTTGTTATAATATTTGCTATTACTACAATAGTTTTGACAAATTATTCAACGCACGGGGTTTAATTATAATACATAGTCGCTGAAGCATGATGATCTGGAAACTAAACCTAAGTTTTTGTTACATTTTTTTATCTGAGTTTATGTTAATTTGTGAAAGGTCACGGTGATTGAAGTCATTGTATTTTCGTATTAAGTAACCGTCCAATAGGCATAGCTGAAATGAAACGTGCAGCCACGATGAATAATATTTAATGAATTTGAGACACAGGATTTGTGCACGCTGAGGTACAGTTCAACATCAAAAAAAGGTGTTCTATTTTGTGGCTTTGACGTTTGCGCGCCGGGATTCCACAACATCATATCCTTACAGCTGCCTCGTACCCAGGCGTCTCTTTGTAAAAAAACAGTGATGCGCGTAGGACGAGTTTACATGAAGTATTTTAGTGGGAATAGATGGGCGAAGGGGCTGATGGGAAGAGTGCACTTGAACTGCGAGACGCCTGGCAGTTCTTGGTCGATTTCTTGCAAGAAAGTCGATTTCTTGCAAGTTGTGATATTTCGTTGTCGTTTACGATTTTTTGCTACTTATTTTTGTTGAATTGACTAATGTTAATATTCGTCTGTCATCTGGGCGTGAATTCATTCTGTCAGTTTTGGTATATATGACATATGCCTTATTTAAAGTCCATGGAAATTCCAATATTAACATGTCAACAACCGAAGCGTTGAAGAACTAGACTTGCAGGAACTAGAAATTTAAGCTATAACTATATAAAGGTACAAACTATAAAATTCAACTGGTGTAATAAATATTTCAAACTTTACGGCTGTGAATTTTTATTTACTTGGGCTTTTGTTTACAGTATACATTTAATAGAAATTGCCATTGGCATTGTGATCGTCTGATCGAGCCTTCAGCTAAAGATAATACAAAAGCAATTATATGACTTTCTAATCCTCTCTCTGTTACTATTTTATACTAAGCAACTGATAGCATTCTATTATTCTCCATGTAATACCGAATGACAACTATTCGAAATATTCGCACGGTAAACTTGCCATGTAATTTACTCATAATTTTTCACGCATTTTGCATGTAATCAAACATCTACAAATTTATTATTATTTGCCAATGGCGTTCAATTCGACTCTTCGTCAAAAAATAAGGTTTTACACACAGAGTATATGACGATATGGTGACGTTTTGTATTAAATTCCATGTTTGTCCGCCATGACAGTATACAAGAACTGCCAGGCGCTCCCCAGCACGCACCCTTCCCAACAGCCCCTTCGCGCGTCGCCTACCTACCTGAATACTTCATGTATTGTAATTATTTAAAGCGTCTGGGTACGAGGCAGATATCTGATAAAACACTGCTGCTCGTGTTTTAAATAGTGCATAAAATCTCTGCAAATCTCATAACTTATACGTATATTATTAATAAGTGGTTTCTCGTGGAATTTGAAAATACGTACACTCACTATACGAGTTTTCCAAAGACTTCACTGAATTGATCAGTCGTCGTTGAAAACCTCATGCATTCGTGTACATGTTTTTCCAAATTGCTCTCGAAACCATACTATTACCTAGTATACAAACAAAATCATTCATAAACCTCAACTCATCCTATAATCTTGTGATCATGCATGCTTGCAAATTAAAACGTGCTTTCATTTTAATTAAAGTACGCATTGTCTCTATTTGTTTGACCTTCACATGCAACTCATTGACATTTTATTTACGAGCTCAATGGCTGGCACACAATGGAACAATGGATACGATTAAAAATATTACTTTCTCAAATGAAAACCGTGCCAATAAAGTAAGAGTGTTTATACCTTTAGTTTTAATGTTATACGTTTTTATATTTAATATAACCCAAAAAAACGATCTCACTGCACGAAACATGAACGTATACGTCATGCTTAATTTGTGTCATTGTTCTTAAAGTGCCTATGACATGAAATTTCATCCCAAAGGTTTATGGTTGCATTGTAAAGATCACTTAAAATTACTTAATATTTTCTTTTATAGAATTTTGATAACTTGCTCCATTTTCAAGATATTCAACTTTGTTTCATATGCAAATGTCACCAGTATGACACCACATCACATAGAGTTTTCAGAAAAGTATAGTTTTCTTGACGAATTACGTATCTAAAAAACTTCAAAATTGCCCTTGTATATGTATTAACTTCATAACTGGTAATTAACCCTCTGTATTTGTTTGTAAAAATATTTTATCAAGGTAAAATATTGCGTTTTCAAAATGTCATTATGCGATGTGATGTCACACCGGTGATATTTGCATATGAAACAAAGTTGGATATCTTGCAAAGGAAGCAAGTTATCAAAATTCTATAAAAGAAATTATTAAGTCATTTTAAGTGATCTTTACAATGCAATCATAAACATTTGGGGGGAAATTTCATGTCATAAGCACTTTAAGGCATGCATTAATAATATAATGTACTTACAGTGCATAGCGATAGAAAACAGGGTATTTTTTAAGAAAAGCTATAGTTTTGTTTAACCAATTTTCAAGTAGCCTGTTCACAGCCGTAAATTACCCTAGAATCCGCACATGCAGTCCACAGGCTAATTTTGAAAATTTAAGCTAATTATAAACGGCTAACAACGCGGCTGCATGGGCGTACGAGAATGTGTTTAGATGGTTTTTCGTAGATGGAATTTTCGAACGAAAACTTACATACAATTTTAGGTATATCTATATAATTATTGTTCCCCGCACGAGTATATTTCTCTTTATCTTGGTCCTAATTGAGTCCGATTGTGCGCGAAACATGAGGATATAGCGGCTAAAAATGGCATGCAGAAATCCATTTTTACATTTTAATTCTAATCAACGAGATGCCCACAATTTTGATGCACGAGAACGGTCATGTATGCATTATTTTTGCCCAGAAAACAATCATGTCACTGTGGGTCTACACGTGCGGACAACATTCAAGGATATAGTTTGCACCAGGAAAAGCTCAAATGATAGCTACAGACTACATATACGTTCACACGATATCGGACAAATTCTGAACCGCGCACAAACTGTGGCGGATTCCTGCCAACTGCCGGCTACAAAGTTCAGATGCTGAGCCTTAAAAGTTTTAATGAAATATAGTCGAAACGTTGATAAATATAAAAATATTATCGTTCTTTGGAGTTTCACTTGTTCTGTATATTGAGCCTTAAAGCATTGTGGAAACTCCGACCAAACTTGCAGACATGCATGGTTCTTCTGCAACAAGGTCAATAAGTGATGGAAAGTTAAAAACTTTATACAAATCCACGACCGAGACTAGAAAGAGTTTGCATAATATACGCTTATATAGGTATATATGTAATACAAAAGATTACAAAACAGGCCATCTAGGGCGAGTTTTTTAAAGCTCGATTAGCACTATAACCCTAGCTGCGTTAACATTTACCCACTGTTTTGATTTGTGTACATTTCTCCACGTTCTAAAACTGGAGGAAATACAACTCTTATTGATCCAGACTCTGGATTTTGGAAAAAAAGACCAAGATCTTAAAGTTTCTAAATAATCTGTTGTATAAAGTTTGCTTTGACGTTTTTTGTCACCCAGGATTAGACTATATAACCGGTTGTTGAACGACTGGCCGCTGAGCAAAACATATAAAACTGTTAGATTTATTTAATTCCAAACTGTATATAATTCTGAATTATTATATGCATGTCTATATGCATTCCTACACTGTTGGAGTATATCTAAATGCGAATGTAATCAAACTTACAACTGTATCATTCGTCAGCCTACACGAATTTAAATAAGCAGACACTAAAATATCTTTCTGTTTTGTTAATTGTAAACATTTGCGGTTTGTACGGCAGTCAAGTCAACACAATAAATCACATTTTACGAGCGTGATTAACACCATTATATATACGTCATTCTTATTGATGGCTTTATATACCTCATAATCTGTTATGTTGCTTTAATATGTTTAACTCGGCACGAAAATCAGAGCATGCATGGCACTTAGCCCTTAGGAGCGATTTTATAAATGTATAAAAAATTCTTGAATTTACAAAATCCAAGTGGTGTTTCAGGGACACACCCTTTGACATTCCTCGCATTTAAGCATACTTGGGACAAATAACGAACGGAAACGAAGTGCCGTGATTGTACGCCTTTCGAAATGAAAAGAAATGCAAATTTGAAGCTTAAATGTTTGTTAAATATCTCGTCCAAACCTTGTTTGTCACATTTTGTTCGAAACAGTCATGAAATACGAAAGTTTGTACACTGCTGCTGTGAAATGCTGGGTCACTTTCGAAGTGGCTTTAATCTTTGCCATTTGTAGCATCTTCTACTATGTTCCAGGTGAGATAATTGTATACTTTCTTTCATTTTAAATTATTAATATTTGATACTTTAAATTCCAATTTAAATATCCTAAAAGGACTGCAATTTTATATATACTGGTATACAGTAAGACTCCGCGTATAAGAACCTATATTTTTCAAGTTAGCCTAAACAGGTTCTTATATAAATGGTGCTTGTCGTGAAATTAGGCAAAACAGGACTGGTTCTTAATTAGATTATCTTCTAAAGAAAAAGCGACTCAATTTCGGTTGGTGTATATAGGTAGTTATTTTTTGTGGATGTGTTCAAACATGCTGCATGTTTATTGTTATGACATGTCCAGGACTCGGACTTCTGGGTCATTTTCATTGCTTTATGAAGAGTTTATTTTCTTTGATTTATAAATTTTTAGTTTCATGCAACTCTTAGAGTGATGAAAGTAAAATAAGATTAACCTGTTTGAAATTTTAGCCTAAACAGGTTCTTATATATAAGGGTCTAAATAAGCAATTTTAGCCTGACACGTTCTTGAAATCTAGCTATAGGTTCTTATGCGCGGGGTCGTACTGTACTTGTTGTAAATTCATGTTGAATGAAAAATACATGCAAAAGCATGTAAAAATCAGTTTCAGTGTATCATTTATCAAGTGAATTCGGTCTATTACCGCGTCGTGTTATATTGCATTCTGCATGCATGCACTTATGTCTGCGGTTCCTGTCTCGAAAAAAAACCTGCTGTGATTTGAAAGTTCGTGCATGCTATAAATTATATACATGCATCATCGATATTTGTCACAAAATGACGCCTTATTGCAGCTATTGTAGAAAAGGCGATATATACTTCAAGAAGACTGGTTTCGTTTTGTAGTGTCGCAACACATGTCCATTGTGGGAGGGCCCACATATAGGGGACCCCTAGGTACAAGATATAATAACTGATAAAGCTATCTAATACACATAATTTTCAAACTTGAATTATTAAGATTAGCATCGTTATGTCTATACGAGTTATCTTGCACTGTACAATTAATGAGGTACCGTAAGAGTTACTGCATGTATATACATAGAAGACACTATAAATTTGGTGAGTGGTATAATATTTACACAATATAAAAAAACAACGGTAACTCCAAAAATGAACAGTTTTTATATTTTAGCTTTTGCCTATATTTCAGTCGTAATCTATATAAACGATAGTCGAAGACTGTAAAGGCGGATTTCCAGTCCTCGCACGAAGCTCCTCGCAGATCGCTGCGGGACCGTTATTTTCAACTTTGTAGAAATATTTATATATAGAGGTTCCGTAATGTTTGGCTGCATTTTTACCCCGTAGGTTTAAGCTTTGTGCTTGAAAGCGGCATGAAGAAGATGACAGGAATAAAGATGCCGAAAAGAAACTATTGGGAAACATTCCTCGGATGGGAGATGTACAAATCTATTTGGAAATCAAGGATGGTCGACATCACAAGAAAAGCTCGCAATGGCGTGGAGGCACAGAATGTTCCACTTATGACAACAGATGGCAAAAGATGTGTCCGCTTGCTGGATTTATTGCAGGTTGACAGAGCGTTGGTGGTGTATTTTGGCAGCTGTAGTTGTCCTGTTTTTATGAATAAGCTGAAGCTGTTTGGTGAACTGGCACAGGATTATTCCGATATCGTTGATTTTGTGGTGGTTTATATTGAAGAAGCCCATCCTGAGGATGGATGGTCATTTAAGGTTTGGAATTTTTTTATTATTATGAACTTTATTTCAACACGGATTCCATGATCATTAAAATTAATACAAAATGCTCTTCCTGAGAGCCATGCATGTTAAAAATAGATTAAAAGTAACAGGGAGAATGTATTATAAGACTATAGGACGCATTCCATAAAGTCAATTTACAAAGAAAATCGGCTTTATAGGAGCAACTATTTTCATATTTAACTTAATCAAGCTTTTGAAACCAGTAATATTTTTGCATGTTTTAGTAGCATCATCTAAGCAACTCAAGGCAACTGCTCCGCTATAGGCAAGAATATTGTTTGAAAAAATGGTATTTGCTTTCGGAATTCCTAAATGTTTATAAACTATATACCACTCACGTTGTAGTCATCTTTTCATCCCTCTTAGATTACTAGGATTTCAGATATGAAGGTGCATGCAGCATTGTTTACCACCTTGAATCAACACTGCATGCATGAATGGCTAAAGTTTGCTAACCAAGTTTTACTTTTTTTGCATGCTTCAAGTTTTCCTTCTGATTACTGGAAATTGCCCAGAAAAACAAATAAATATTATCTTCACTGAAAAGATTAGCAATGTGGCGTTGGTGGCCAGTCCATGTATATAATGTTCCCTTTGTTGCGAGGGCTCCCACAAAACACATAGGCATAGCAACAGAATAACCATGCATGCTGTACCTTTCTTTTTTTAACCATGTCATAACGCTAGCATGCATTTATTTGAACCGTCAAAAGAGCTACTTGTCATATAATTACTTTTTATTGATGCATGGTACATATATATTGTGCATAGGTCAGAATTCCAAGGCTGATTTGTTAAATATGGGATTAAAATCGTAATCAATCATTAACACATTTGTACACAAAACTAGTCGATATTTCAATCCCTGCTGTTCTATGCGTTTACAGAACTGGGTTGGATTTCATTCACAAGCCGAAGAGCAGTATGGCAAATTCGGGATTTCCTTAAAAATACTTATTATGCACCTGTAATGAGTGCATTTATAAGTACTTTGCACCTATCCCCCCACACCATGCACAATAATAAAAAATTGAAAAAGGATAAAATAATTAAAAAGGTATCCTGCATGGCACTAATGCGGAGATGAGCCTTAATTCGTCCAATGAGACTCAGTTTATTCGTTGCTTATACTTACGACATGTAATTAACGTGATCATCCCAAATCAGTTGATGATTGATGGTGATTCCTATAGATATTTATACTAAATAGTATATAATTATATATATATTCCCATTTTAGAACAATTTCATAAAAGTACGAAAACATCGTAGTCAAGAAGAAAGATGTCGCGCTGCACAGAAATTACAAGAACTCAATCTACCATGTGACATATTGGTAGACACCATGGAAGATAACGCTAATGTCGCTTACGGTGCTCTGCCAGAAAGACTTTACGCAATTGAAGAAGGCAAAGTGGCGTACGTTGGCGGGCAAGGACCCATGAATTCTTCAATGAAGGCAGCACGAGAATGGCTGGCAGAATATAGAGAGAAAAACACATTCAGAAGATGGACACTTTAGACCGCGCATCATACATACTAAGGAAGACATATATTAAATTTGTAATTGTTGGGTTTATGTATATATAGTGTGGGACAAAGTGTCGTAAAAACAGCCCACGTAGGATTGCTTGCAAAATGTCTGCAAAATGGCGTTCAAATTTTCGACCTCTCAAAATAGAAGATTTTAATAACTCCTTTAGTTTGACAGCTAGTCAACTCAAGAAAAACAGAAGAAGAAAGCAAATCTTAACTTTAGCATGCATGCGAATCCTATAATATGACATTTTTATGACAATTCATAGAACACTACTATTTAAGCTAGGAAATAGAAGCTCTATATAGTTACTCCAACTATTTAGACCTAACCAGAAGCATGTACAAAATCCTTCAACCGGTAATAATAGACAAAAGCAGGAATAGTATACGGAAACATTTCGGTATGTCTTAGTGCCTACGTAAATTATACGTAATTGGCATATGCGCCATCCGTCCACAGGCCAGCGGTGCGACGTGAAAGCACAGAATAAACCAGAAGGTTCACTCTATTACTAAAGACTATTCACGCTTTTTCACGCTTGCTTTCCCTTGTTTAGGGATCTGAAACGAGCGCTGTCTGCGCATTCTAATAGGAAATAGTATAGGAGTGAACTGAGTACGAGGTTGCATTACACTGGTTTAGCTCGAGGACAGATTTTCGCCGAGTGAACCTTCTGGTTAATTCTTATTCTGTGGTGCAAGTGTGTGCCGAGTCTAAATACGTCGTGTATATAAACTTTTTGGACTAATAGCTGCAAAATCATGCAAATATTATAACATATTCTAACTACCATAAATTATGTGCAAGATAGCACATTTTAAATCATAATTCAAAACAACTATCAACGACTTGTATTATTGTGTATGTGTCATTGTTTCTAAAGGTTGCATTCCGATTAAGCGTTTTTCATACGTATCATGCGATACGCATGGAAAAGTGTAAAACGTTCTGGATTATATAAGTACTATAATAACCCCAACGATTACATTAAATCGTACACAAAACTAGAAATTCTGCCCTTGCATGTGTTTATTTATAGTCATCTATATATTAATTCTGCTAAACCATTTACATTATGTAAAAACGTGTTTCCAGTATTCTTGCATGCATATCTGAAGCGACTCTACGCAGGGGGACTTTGTGTAGTTCAAAATATACTTAGACATTCTTCCACTCCTCTACGCATGCAGTTTATTACTCGACAGAACGTAAAGCCGGCATTGTGTTGATATTAATGAACACGAAGTAAAATAATTCCATGCAGCCATGTGCTTTTATACGTATATGTACACGCACGGAAAAAGAGACCTTAAAATTCACGTTTATGGCAGACCGCTATAACGTCAAACGGCAATCTTCAAATCGTGTAGTTTGAGGTCAACTGACAACTGTTCGAAGTTAGGCCAATTTGGGCATCCCATGATGATGGTTACAGAATACCCCAAACAACGTAAAAAAAATTTTTCCACACATTCTTGTGGCTTAGAAATAGATCTGCCGTCAGGAAAAAATTCAATAAGTTATCAAGTAAAACGCTTTCCGAAGTCTGAATGCTTGGCGGGAAAGCTTCTATATAGCATTAAAGTCAATTTTCAGGCACATTAATTTTGAGCCGTATATACTGCACTAAAAAGGCGACAATATTTATAAGCGTGCGTTATAAAACCTCTTGATGGATTGTTCTTAAATTTGCACACTTTGTAGGTGTATGCCTTGGCTACGAAATGACGTTCGTGCAAGCTTTAGTTGAAAAGTTACAATTCGGCGAAACAGTTTGATAGAAATTGAATAAAAATTCGCCAAGCATCTGCATGATAGTAAATCTCTTGAAACGGTCTCCCATAAAAGTCACCTCATCATGCAGTGACGGAAGCTAAGAGGATGCTTACCCCCAAATAATTTAAAAAAGCCATACTTCAAACTGAAAAACGAAAATGCTAATTTCCAGACAAGGGACCTTCGCTCGATACGATGTACTTTTATATTTTTCAAGTATAATTATCATACACATACAACTTTGAAGTTTATATTTTTCGCCTTTATTACATTGGGCTAGAAATAGCACAAATCCACACGTTTTCTATTCATAGTCACATTCTCTCACTTTTTGGTTCGAAACGCAAAACGAAAATGCTGCAAGCAAGACAAGTCGACCCCCCTGTTTTGTTTGTCGCTCAACCAAACTCTGTGGAGGTAATAAAGAATGCCGGTCGATATTTAAAAATAGAGAATGTGACTATGAATAAAAAGGGTGTGGATTTGTGCTATTTCTAGCCCAATGTAAGTAGCAAAGAATATAAACTTCAAAGTCGTATGCATGTATATGATAATTACACTTGAAAAACATAAAAGTACATCGTATCGAGCGAAGGTCCTTAGTCCGGAAATTAGCAGTTTAACTGAACATTAAAATGTTCAGTATGATATTTAACAAGTTCGATATTTAATGTTCAGTATGATTTAGAGTATAATTGTTAACCTATTTGTTAAATAATGATATGAAATGAGTTTAAAATTTTCAGAGTGCGTACGTACGAATAAAAATACATGACTGTATGGAAAGCAACTTTAAGGCACGTAAACAAACAGCGCATATAGCGTTATCGCTCGTATTCACCATTTTTAAAACACGAGGTTCTATTCGGGTCAAATAACGATACATTAATTTACTTTGTTTAAAAGATCGCCTAATTTCGATGTGCAGAAATAACACTCCAGTTCGCATAGAGTTACTTTTTGTCATGTGTAACGTTTTCTACGATATTACTGGATAAAATCATGCTATGTACAAGAATAGATCTCCTAATGAGAAACGGAGACCTTACTGTGTAAAGGTTTTACTTTCATATTCCGTGATAGACCCACACGTATTGGAGGCCCAGGATTTTTTATTATAACTCCACCGAGACCAAAAGAGCGGAGATCCTTGTTGACTGCTGGGCTTCCCAAGGAAGTTGTAGTGGACGGCTTTTTTCCTGGAAATAGAAATTTGGCACAGAAACAGACCTTACACAAAACGAAATCCTTCTTTCGGAAAATGTATTAAAAGTAACAATTTGTATTTTACTCCGCGCAACAGGAACTTGTAATGCCATGCAAGTAACGTTATAGTGGCCTCTAAGTTTGCATTTCAAGTGAGACTCCACTGCAAATATATGTATATTCATTAAATAAAAAAATATGAAATCCAATCAACCAATGCATGCATGATCAGTGTGAATTAATTACCAACACTGGGATTGACTGAAAATATAGCCAATCAGAGAAGCCATACTACAAAACTATATAAAGACCTACTGTATAATTAATTTATTTTGCCAATTTAAGCCATAAAGTATACAGTGCATGGTCAATACACAAATTTTGAGCATTTTCAAACCGCCCAAATTTGAAGATGGCATTCCATAATTTCGTTGCATGTTTCAGGGGGTGCGCATAGCGGAGGGTAAAAAGCCGGAAAGTAGTAAATATGTATATCAAGGATGAGTTGTAACGAAGCAAATGATAGGGGAGTATTTCAACTTACCCAGGCCACCAGGTTTTGGGTTTGTGGTGGTCGTTTTGGTGCGAGATGCTGATATTTCCGATGGTAACTGTTTCTCTGTTTCTTTTACAACAGACGTCTGTTTCTTATTACCAGTCACTATTTAAAAACAAATGAAAAACGACACTTTAGCAACCACACTGCAGGCCATGCTGTAGATGCCTATATTAACAAATGCAGGCCTCGCAACCCGGGTGGCCAATCGGCAAATGCCGACCTGATTGCCCACTTATCCTCATGTCAGGACGCCAAAAAATCGCCCATCTGTGAGTTTGCGTAAGAAGCGAATTTAGAGCAAAAGAGGAAAGTAAACGAACTTTCTTCTACATCTTTCGATCTTATGAATGTACAGTATGATAAAGTTATCCACATTTTAATTTCAGGATAATAAAGTTTCATGCAGAGTTTTGAATATTACTACATGCATACACATTTTGTTGACAACTTAAATTTGCTGACCTGGGGCCGGTTGTTCAAAGGTGCGTTAGCGCTAACCCTGGGTTAAAATTTAACCTGCTGGTTTAGTTTGTGTATTTCTGGCGTTTATTTCAAAACTTCAGAGCAGTAAACTCCTATCGATCCAGACAAGATCTCTGAAGAAATATTTCCAAATTTATAGACAAGCTGTCCGGAAGTTTGCTTTGAATTTTAGGTTAACTTAGGGTTAAGCTAACCAAGCTTTGAACAACTAGTCCCAGTAGTGGAACTGCTAGCGTTTCAGCTAATTGCGAAGTCTGCATTTATACACGTCAGTGCTGGACAATAACCGGCAGGGCCAAGATATAACTATTTAACAAAATTTGAGCTTCTCAGTGATTCCCAATTTGCTGCCAGGAAATCTTGAAAGTTGATTTACATCTTACAGGAAATTTTGTCATCTCGTACATTGGAATTCCATATAATATGCTAACTGTTTAAAAACTTCCTAAAGTATTTTCAAGTCAAAATTGTCTTTTGCATGCAGAGATTCAGGTAGCACCATGCGTAGCATACAAAGTCTCAGAAACCTACCTAAATGCTGGAAGTTTTACAATTGGTCCGTACAGGATTATTTTGGGATTTTGCTGACAGGAAGAAAAATATATTTTCTAGGCCTAGTATACTATACGTTACGACGGACTAAAATACAAGTTATATAACGCATAGTTTACAATATCCAAATATACAGTTTATTGTGCGTACAAGTCAATTGTTTTATTTAGAAAGGCAATATCCTACCACCCTTACCACCAGCTAGGGGTATTTTTCTGGTTCGCCAAACACTGCTATCCTAGTTCCCTCGAGTGCATGATTATACTCTTGGTCAACGGTCGCACTCTAAACCATGGCCAAGGCTCGATGAGCAAACATCCTTCCCCCCTCCCTGATCTGACTAGATCCATTCCTGCCACACAGAAAAGGCGAAGAGCTATTAGCAAGTTGAACATATAATATATAACCGAATATAATAATGTTCAGTTTAAATAAAATGTATTTAAATTACTGTGTAATTAGCTGGTTATTCGAAAATTTTTGCCAAGAGTACAGAGCATCACATAAGTATAACAAAATATAGCTACAATACAGTGTCTGCACGTCCGTGTAAAACATCATTTTGTAGATCAATGAAAATTGTGAAAATTTCAACAATGCATACCCGATTCTTTGCTGTCCGAAAACGATTGTTTGCTTTTTGTCTTCTTTTCTTTTGAAACAGTTTTTCTTCTGACTTCCTCTTCACTAAAATCGCTGTCATTTTCTTTTTCTTCGTCATCATTGTCATCCTCACTTTCATAGACCGTTTCTTGCTCAGGCTCATAATCACTATCTTCTAAACAATTATTTTAAAGAAGAATTAAGAATGTTTGCTTGACTATAGATATTTCAGATGAAGGTTAAAAGGAAAATGGAAATAAAAATTAAGCAGCAGCGGTATGTAGAGATACAACTAGTACTTGAAAAATACAAACAGAACTTCGACGTTTCAAGCAATTTTATACTAAAATGGTGCATTCTTTATAAATGGTGCATTCTTTATTAACAAGCATTCATGTTTACGCTGAAGAATCAAATACGTGCATGCACTACCTAATGAAAACAACGTACTGGGTATTAAAGTTATAGAGTTCGAGAAAACTGGCTAAATTTCCGTCAAGGGAAGCAAAATTGGTTTGAGATAGCAGAGCAGGGGCGGATTTTCTGGGGGGGTGCAGGGGGGTGCGCACCCCCCCAAAATTTTCTAGCACCCCCCAGAAAAATTCGAAAATGGCGTGCTTACTGTAGGTTATTATTATTATAGCAGTTTATTTAATTTAAAGAAACTTATACATTTGGCAGCTGATACCTTCAACAAATGCAATTATATATATATTTATATACTAAGACAAGTATTTATAAAACTAAATATACTACGTAAAAACGTCTAAAGATTAAATATCCAAACGCATGTTCAATTTTAGTAAAAAGACCAGATAAAAAGCTACGACTAAACTAAACTTTGGTGAAAAAACAAGGTAGAATACTAAGCCAAAAATTTCAGTGAAAAGGCGAAGAATAATATTACGAGCGCAAGTCTAATTTTGGCGTGTGAAACGACTGAATCGAAACTTGAGAACAGTGCCAGTGGCAGAAGACGAACAAAGTCCAAGTGATCTCCAGATCGTTGGTGAGGTTCTCACCAGCTTTTAAAAGTGTATGAAGGCATGTAGAAAATATTAAATAAAGAAAGAAAACCGGAGGGAAAGCGACAATAAAATCAATAGAATATGAAAATTGCGTGCTTCTTTTTTCGACATTCTGTCATGTGTGTCTGACCTTTAACCTTGTTTATGTTTGCCAGAATAATTTTGCATGACAATGCAATATTTTAGCGCCCATACTATGACGAAATCTGACATGGTTCAGCTTTGCGATGGACCTATTACCTAATGAACAAAATATTGATCTAGACAAGTCTAGACAAAAATTTCATCACAGCTTGAAAGAGCATCACAAAATTAGTAATATTCCGAAATTTCGTTGCGAAATGCCGAATGCGGATAATATATAGATAGCCCTGCGGCTGCGAAGTTTGCCGTTTTTCATTTTGTATTTACGCACGGGAAATTGATACCGCCTTCTGAAAAAGGTATCAATTTCCCGTGCGTAATACAAAATGACTGAAAAACGGCAAACTTCGCAGGGCTATATTATCCGCATTTTACAACATTTCGCAACGAAACGTAAGAATATTACTAATTTTGTGATGCTCTTTCAAGCTGTGATGAAATTTTTGTCTAGACTCGTCTAGATCAAAATTTTGTGCATTAGGGAATAGGTCCATTGGCTCTCAATTGAATTTGCTTACTCATAGTGTAGTGTATTACATCAGCAATATGTCATAGATTATTTTTAGTGAATTAAGTCATATTTTACTCTAACCGTTAGTATAAAAGCCGGTGCACTTTATGCATTATTCATGAGTGAAAGTGAATCGTGAAGAACTTCTAATATAGCTATTATTTTGTGAAAATAACGTGAGTGATTTTTGATTTGCGATATGTTGGGTGAACCAAAGAGAGACAACAATGAAAAGGCACCAACCGACGCTTGCACACTTTTTCCAAAAGAAAAACAAAGGTGAGTAATCATCAGAATTATCAAAGCTTTCTGCAGTATTATTTATTATTTTATTTTAAATTATTCATTAATTTTCATACTGTTGCCACGCTTGTTTGCTTCATGTCGCAAAATGTATTATGGCGGCTTTTCTCTAGAATCATTACTCGGCTGGGCACATACATGCATTTTTTATATTTGGCCAATTGGGCCGACTCGACTGTATGTTCGCTGATCACTTTATTCTTTCCAGAATCAGACCCACATGCACAACTAGATGATGTCGAACCAATTGATCAAGATCAAGAACTTGAAGATGAACGAGATGACCATGATACTCAACGAGATGATGCTGAACGAGATGATGCTGGACCAGATGAAGTTCATACGATTTGTGATCCTGAAGAGACTCAAGAGGAATCCGCCCCTCAAACTAGCCAAGCAAGCTCCTGTGATCTCAGTCAAGAATTGGACATTAAACCATCACAGCCGAAGCTCCAGAAATTTCCGATAAATACAAACTTTCCAAGCAAAAAAACAAGATCTTTCAACGCGAGCTGGTACAACCGCTTCGACTGGTTAGAGTATAACGTTCAAAGCGATGCAGCATTTTGCTTTGCTTGTAAAAACTTCGGCTCAAGAAGTTCAGCAGACACCACATTTACCGTAACTGGCTTTAGAAAGTGGACTAATGCCCTAGACAAGGACAAAGGTTTTATGAAACACCAGAAATCAGAAGTTCATAAAGTTTGCTACGAGAAATGGAAGGCAAAGCTCCGAATATCAGATGGACAAGATACAAGTATACTCGAGAAACTGGTTCCCGACCAAGCGAAAACAATTCAAAACAACAGAGAGTACTTTAAACTTCTGTTCCAGTATGTAATTTGGTTTGCAACGAACGAAATAGCATTCCGGGGCCATGACGAGGCGGCTGATTCGAAGAACCCAGGCAACTGGACAACTTTTATAAAGATGCAACTGAAGACGAACAAGGAGTTTCGAAGTCTCCACCAAGCGATAACAGATAAAAGGCTTCTTGTCGACTATACTAGTAAAACGTCTCTCAATGAAATGCTGTCTATACTCGCGGTTCAGATACGGAACCAGATATGCCATCAGATCGCAACTGCCGGGTGCTTCAGTGCACTGATAGACGAAAGCAAAGACAAGGGCAAGAGAGAAGAGCTCGCTTTCTCTGTTCGCTACTACACTGAGAAGGTACAAGAGAGATTCCTATCCATGACTGCACTCACCAAATTTGATGCAGAAGCTATTTCAGCAGTGACGAAAGACCTGATCTCTAAAGTCCAGCAGAAATCCAACGGATCGCCTATTATCAGCCTCGGCGCAGATGGCGCTAGCGTGATGTCTGGTCGGTTAGCAGGAGTCGCAGAACTGCTTCGATCGAGGTATTTTAAGTGGCTTGTTTACATCCATTGTACTGCCCATCGTTGAATTTGGTTGTGGGAGACATGCTGAAGGCGTCTTTGTCATCAACGGATGTTATGACCACAGTAAAATCCTGCCATACACTGCTCAATAAACCGAAGATCAGACAAAAGTACGAATCACTCCACAGAGAAATGTATCCTAGCAAACAAGTTAAACATATTACGCAGCAAATCGATGTTCGTTGGGGATGCAAATACGAAGCCGTTGATGTTATATCTGAAAGATTTGATGTTGTCCTTACGACCCTGATAGACGTGGCAAACAACCCCGGTGAAAATGATGAAGATTCGGACGATGATGAGTATGGGTATACAAAATCGCAGGCAGAAACAGCAGCTGGACTGTACCACAAACTGATGTCAGGAAAATTCATCGTCGGTGTGACAACACTTCATAAGTATCTCGGCAAGCTATACTTCCTTAATAAAGAACTTCAGGCCGAAAAAATTGATTGGACGGACGTTCAATACGAGCTGACTCGAACTCGGGATTCAATTAATAACATCAAAGACGAGGACATACTCATTGAGTCGAAAGAAATTTCAAGAAAGACTGGAAACCCCTTAGCTCTCTGCGACACAATGCCTATCCACAACACTAGAGCTACAACAGTTACGACTCCCGATGATCAGGGTGATCAGTTAAAAGAATTTATTGGAGAACTCAACGCAGAGCTGAAGAAGAAACTCAACGATGAATTTAATGTCAGATTTGACTCTAAGAACATAGACATCCTTAGAGCTATCGATGCTCTTAATGCAGGTTCAGATACCTACTTGGTCTTAAGTGAACTAGATGTGCTACTGAATACCTTCAGCTGTCTCAACATTGACAGATCTATCCTCGAACTAGAAATCGAAAGAGCTGAAGTTGATTACCGTCTTGGTCTACCAATAAATCCAAAGAGGCTTCCAAACTTGACCACTTTAATTGCAGTCAAGAACACCATCTCGACATCAACCGCTTCAGTGGAAAGAGCATTTTCCGGCATGAATCGTATCTGCACGAAGCTGCGATCCACCCTTCGTCCAGAAAGATTAAGTGATCTTTTATGCATTTCGTTAAACAGAGATGTTGTTGATTTGCTGGATTTGGACGAAGTCGTAACAGCATGGGGAAACATGCGCAATAGGTGGGCTAAGGTCTAAGTCATTAACTGCCTAACTAGTCTAACTATATAAAATATATAACGTACTTATTACTAAATTGAGAACTTGAAAAAACTATTCATTATTTCATTTATTTATTAAAAACTTTGTTAGTTTATTACTATACGATTTTCACCAATTTTAAATATTCTAAGGAAGCTATACTGAAAAGCTATACAACTATATATTTTATAACTTTATACTACTAATTATTAAATAATGAATAAATTATACTTTGCAAATATACTGTGTGCATTAATTTAGCTAGTTACTAAAGTACTAGCAGAGCATTTGAGGTTTCTAATTGTCCTTCCCAGCTCAGGGACTTAAATACTTGATCAGTTGATCACATGGGCAGGGGTCACAAAACAGGGGTTATTGCGATATGCCAAAAATATATACAACACCCCGCGGTCAGCCCCTTTGGTAAGGGCAGCGCACCAATGCACCCCCCCCCCCAGGGAAATCTGCACCCCTCCTGTGAGATGAGCATTGATCCGCCCCTGTAGCAGAGAGTTTGAAATAACAGAGTAAAAATATTTGAGTCCGAAGTCCGAGTTGGAAATAAGTGAGTTACACTTCTGCATTCATCACGTGGTCTATTAGCCAATTCCCAAAGTCCTGGGTCTAGTCGCGCAAATCCCACGTTAGAGGGACAAGAAATATGATAGCACAGATTTAAATTAAAAGTTTTATGTAAAAAGGAGATATTTCATTTTTGGTCGTCTAAAATGTTGGTATTTGATATTTGATATTGACGCCTGTCACCATATATTTTGTCCCTCCAAACGATCCCGGAATGCACTGTGATCTCTTTTGGGGAAAGGCTAATTGCAATGTATAAACATGTAAAAATCTGACAACTTTTCGACAAGTTGTGTTCGCAATTCGCTTCTAGGAAGCTTTTTTTAACAAGCTGTAAAAACCATGTCAGTCTGTCAAGTTGTTACAAGATTGTCACTCACAACTTGTTAACAAGTTGTTGAATGACAAGACAATAACAAGTTGCTGGAATTAACGGCCTTGTAGCAGGTTTTCAAGGACCTGTTCAAATCTTGTCAATAAACTGGGACAAAGCAATGCGATCCGCATCCTGATAACAAGTTGTTGAAACAGCATTGGTACAGGTCTGGTGTTCACGTGTCTAAATTTAAGTTTAACAGCTGTGATTAATGGGATATTTCCGTTTTATATCAATTCGTGCTGCCATCAACGTGCTTTTTTTATTAAACACTTTCTCTCAATTTCAAAAGGTTTAATTTAGAGTGCAATACAGACCTTCTGTGGGTGATTTCTTTGTTTTGGCTTTTACAACATCATCGTCATCTTGTTCTTCATTAGACGACATAGGGTTGGAAAGAGAAATTTCGAGAGCTTTCTCTATATCTCTTTTATAGACCTTTTCCTCGACAGAAAGCCTGAAATGTAATCCAGAAGTAATATCAGAAATAAACTTATCGAGCGATATACTGTACAGCACAGGCTTCGCCACTCAGCAATGGAAACGATTGTTAACATGGACAGGAGAAGCACGTATATCTTCTGGCTCACGACTCAAGAATCTTCACATTTGGGACTATATTTTTGAACTTATTTATTGTCATGTGCTGTCCGACCCATTCGTGAACTTGTCCGACGTAGAGAGGAAATCAATGGACATTCGATCCAACCTAAGTGAAACTCAGGTTTATTGTTTGTCCGATCCGAGTGAATTGGTGTCTGACCTAACTGCAACTTTGTCCAACGTAAACCAAAATGCACCTTAGTCCAGGACTAGAGGCTCGTATGTTAAATGGAGATTCAGAGTAATGTGAATAACATGTGGACTGGAAATGTGTAATCAAGTGCGGGGTTTTCGCAGTGGGGTTTCGGAAATTCATTGCCAAGATTCAAATGACTTTTCTAATTGTGCTGATATTAATGTGTGTCTACATTTATAGAATTCCCAAGACCAAACTGAACTCATAGTCAGGGCTGCATTATATAGCGAACCGCAGGACCATTGGTCACAGAAAATTTTTGAGGTTGGCAGAAAAAAAATGGAGGGTAAAACTTAAAAATCTCAAAAGAAAAAAAAGTAAAGAGAAAGAAAGGAAAAACAGAAAGGAAGAAAATGAGAAAAAATGACATAATTGAATAATAAGCTGTCGGTAGTGAACTAGTGATGTTTGCAACATGCAAGTAATACAAGATTCCAATATACCGGTACAGGCGGCACTCCAGCAGCCTGATATTATGGTCAAAGACAGGCAGACAGCAGTCTAGCAGATATTAAGACGTAATCCTCTATGCGGTTGTTATAATTGAATTCATCTAGTGTATTAGCTACTTCTGAAAATACCACTCCAGTTATATATGAATACAACTCATTTAACAACTACAGTATGTGGATTAAAAGTCTACGAGTGTGGTGATTTCTTACAATGTAGTAAAAAATCTAAGCAACATGTTCCAATTCAAACAGCCTTCTGCCCTTCTCATGAACTTTCATCCATTAATTAAGATGATGTCATCATGCAACATATTATACCTTTGTGCTGGACTTTTCCTCTCACTTTTCCCTTGTTTTATTGCATCCTTTTTAATGACCTCGTTGGTTTTAGCCTTTTTTGATCGCGGTTCAAACTCAACTTCAAAGTCGTCTGCAAGCAACAGATAATTGTCGATTCATATTTACATCGGATAGAAAAAATCTATCTATCTGTAATACATAGACATTTGCCTCCTATTAATAAATCATCTAAATTTATTAGATTTGAATAACGTCCGATACAATTTCAATACTGCAAACACCCGAACTTACTGTACATGTATAGAAACCACAAAATTGAATGTTAACTCCATATGCATGTACTTTATTAAACGTACTTTACAGTACAACACAGTACAGTACAGTACAGTACAGTACATTTAAGATCAACGGAAGATATTTCATTACTCAGAAAGGTCTAGTATAGGTAGTCTGAGTAGTGTAGTGATTTGTAACCTGAGTATCAGCCTCTATTTTACAAATAGAGCCTGACACAAAACTTAACCTGATCGCTTTCCACCCACAGCAAAGTTTATATTTAGTATCAAATCAAAATGTCGCAGGAGAAATTTAAATTTCACACAACGACAACAACAATCTAATTATAGCATAGGTAGCCCACTAAACGGCTGAATTTAAATTAAAACTGCAATGAACTTATAAAATTAACAAAAATAATCACAAATTAGCGAAATATATTGCAAATGTAGCTTATATTAAATCGCCACCCGATTGCTCTCTCCTCCGCAGAGGGTTCAATGAGCTTTACATGGCGCTTACCGTATATATCAACAAACTGACGTATAATTATAAAGTATATATATATAACTATAGAAGTATACTTTATAACTATACGTCAGTTAGTCGATAGTGCAACCTAATGGCGATTTACTATAAGCTACACTTGCAATATATTTCGCTAATTTGCGATTATTTTCTAATTTTACTGCAGTTTTAATTTAAATTCAGCCGTTTAGTAGGCCGACTATAACTGTAGTTGTGATCGTTATAAAATCGATCAACAACAATAGTATTAGTATAATCTAATTAGCACCAGCCAATCAAATGACAGATTTAAAAATCGTTTGTCTAATCGGCCAATCAGACGAAAAAGCCAGAATCTGGCTTTTTACATGCGCCGCGGTAAAGAATTGTATCAGGCCCTCCTTCATTCGCCGCCGCCAATTAATCCTGGCGAATGAAAACATAAGGGCCTGATACTCAGGTTAAGTGATTTAAATAACTTTGAGCCAATGAAATAACAGTACATGCATATAAGCATACATCTTACACATTCAGTACTATACCCATTCACATGTCAGCACATAGCCATTCAGCGACGAGCTTATATAATTGAGCCAATTTAAGCCAATCAGCGATTAGTTTACATCAATTGTTTATACGTGCCCGCATCTAACCTGCGAACGGGCATCGTTTGGCCTTGTGTTATTCTTTCAAAAATAAATTGATTATATCAATTTATCTTGAAATGTCTGTCTTGTTTTCTCGCCATTCTACTTGCGATATTATGCCGAAGTTATCTATCAACATGGAAACTTATCCTCATCTGGTAAGTAGTCAATACCACATATTTTTATTATATATTTAAATACCAAATTTGTGCAAATCCCACATATAATTTTGCATATATAACATAGTTCACAAAAAGATTTATATACAGTAAAACAATCCTTCTGTGACTTCTGTAATATTTTAAACAGTCAAAACATACCAGGCAATATTGCCAATGAACAATATCAAAGGAAACTAATGGTCTCAGGAGATATTGAATTCAATCCTGGCCCTGTATTTCTGTAACTCTGTTCAAAACAACAGTCCAACTAAGCTGTCATCAAATGTAGTGTTGAAGCAAAGGTAAAGATGTTATCAGTTAACTTAAAATACTTATACATTTTGGTTTTACACGTCAGAGTTTATAATTAAACAAAATTTTTATAAACATTTTCAAATGTTAATAAAAGAATCTCCACCCTCCCGAGCCTCATTACATTACATTGTCATTTTGCTTTGCAAAGTACAAAATGTGAATCAAGTTTTTCGCAGATGCATATATACGCGTCGCGTACCTATTTTTTTATTTGTGCACGCCTTGGCTAGCGATATTGTTTGATTTCCTGCAATCTGATTGGCTGCAGAAGCGGGCAACTTTTTACGATATCTTGACCGTGGTCCAAAGGAGTTATTTTTTAGCAACAAACTGAGCAGTGAAGACAATTTTTAAACTGGAAAAACTAGCCAAAAATTTGAAAATCCCACACTATCGATACTAAAGATAGTGAAACACAGTGAAACACAGTGATAGATACTGTAGTAAATCACGAAGGCCAAAATCCGCCATTTTGGGGGTGCTGTCTGCCTCGTGAAAGATTCTAGACAATTCAAACAACGTGAAAAGCGACTTTTAAAAGTCGTAACTGTAAATATACCATTATGCAAACAACTGCAACACTGAAAAGTTGTATTTCGTGGTGCGCAGACTCTCGTACGTGGGAGCGGCAGTGCCCCAAAAAAATGGCCGGAAAATCAGACGTGAGAAAAACTAATTGACTTCGACGGATATCCTGTACTACCAAGCCCGAAATGTGCTTTTCTCCGACCAAAATGCGAAAAAACAAATATAAACTTATAAACATCGAAAAACACTGCCCAGTTTCGGGCAGGAATCGAACCAGAGGGCCTATAGTTGAAAAAAAGTCTTGTTCCTATAATACAACAAGTAATTTATTAATTTATTAATGGGGCGATTTTAGGATTCGGCTTTATTTCTACTATATTTCTGATTCTCTGTATATGATAGCGTGTCACACAGGAAAACTTGAACATGAATAAATAAAAATAAACAAATCTTTTTACTCCCAATTCAAAAAAGAAGACCAAATTTATACATCACACATACCATCACTTTCATAGTTTGAGTTGCTGTCAGAATAGTTAACAGTATTTTTGCTCCTAGAAAGAAACGATTACGCAACGTTTGATAAATGTAAATTAATTATTAAAGTATTTTTTCAGGTAAAGTGGTTACGTCAAATATATATTGATGGGCCACAAGAGTGTATGAAAGCTGATGTGTGGAAAAACCATTACGTAGTCATCGTGTTTCTGGGTATCTGACTGGCGTAGAAACCTCACGTCATTTGGTAAGAGGTCTTATCAAACCCTCCCCCATTTATTTTAATTGTTGCCCTGCTCCTCTTTTACCAATGCCCCCACCCATTTTTTCCCTTCAATAATGGATCACCTTCTGTTGAGATATTAAGGCCGTGGATATTAGTCCGACACCTCATCCCAATGACCAGCAATGTGTAAAAGCTATTCCGCTAACAGAGTGTTGCCCATATATGTACGTATACAATACGTATTGTACATGCGACATTTTTTTTTGAGTCAATAATAACCTGAAACCTGACCTGCACGTACAGTATGTACCCCGACATGACGAGAAAGAATTGGGACAGCCTGGTCACGATAAATGACAAACTGACGCTATAATTAGCATAGGCCGTCTCTGGATAGGCCGTCCAGAATTAGGCCGTCTCTGGTCGTCTATCAAGAAGTGGCCGTCTAAATTCAAAAGTAGGCCTCACAGGATGATTAGATGGCCACCTGTATAAATCGAACTTTCCCAGAGCTGTCTCCCAATCCTTTATGAGAAACGTTCATTCCTGTGGGCTAACAGTGTACTTTAATTACAGATAATGTAAAGCAACAACCGTTTGAAGCTACTGTAGAAATCATGATTTTTTTCACATTTTTCCAGGGATACTTTGTTTTCTGCTCTCTAGACTCCCCCTCGCGGCTCTAGTGCTCCACCCCTAGAATATAGACCTTACTGGGGTTTGGTGACACTTTGTGTTGCTTCAGTCAC